CACCTTTTTTCCACCTTATCTACCTTCGTCTTTGAAACACTCTTCTGGTCCAACCCCCCGGTCTTGAATTTTTTACACTTTGGTGTTGCTCTCTGTGAAGCCTGAAGTCAACTAAAGGGCTAATGATAACCATCAAAACGCCTGTCATTTGATTTGAGAAACTAAGCTTCCATCTTAACTTCAGAGACCTCAAGGAATTAAGCCTTCGAGAACAAAGGGAACCTACTAGAAAAAATCTGCTTACCTCTTTATAAAATTAATTAAGTAAAATGCTATTACCTAGCTTAAAAAACCCAGCATAGAAGAGGATAATCAAATCTCCATTTATGTCTCGTTGTTCTTAATAATGATGCAATAAGAATTATCTAACCACTTACAATTTTTTTCACTGTGATTCCTTAAAAATTAAGGTATTTTTCCAAAGTGGGAGAGATGATATTTCTGCCACATTCTTAAATTCTACCTAACAGAAATGAGTGGCATTTAGAAACCTGCCTATGTTAATATAAATAGTACACACAACCACTTACATCAATTCAAATACCACAGAAAATCAAAATCACACAGTCCCGCAAATAAATTCCATTATTTTTATTATTATTGCAAGTAAATTATTAAATTATAGAAAAATAGGCCCTTGAACCTTTAAAAAGAGACTACAGATTAAGTCTAACATTGATCTCTGCTCTATAACAGATTAGCATTGGTTAAAATAAATTTGATGGAATCAAACCACAAAATGGCATGTTCGGATCGATACAATGAATATGAAGAAATGTCGTGTGAAAATCGAAGAGACAGATTCAATAGAAGAATCTGAAGCGGTTCACGAAACTACAGGCGACTGCATACGCGCTGGAGAGGCAGAGATTATGATATTAGTGAGTAGGGATTGATGTGAGTGCTTAGTCGCCATTGTTGGATCAGATCAGCAAGAAAGGTGGTGAAATGTGAGTTTCTCGTCACAGCAGATCAACGATAACACCTCCACCTCTCTTCACAAGTCAAGTGATGAGAACATTTAGGCTAACAGACTTGTGGAGTCTGAGCAAATAATTATGCATGGATGTGATTTAATAGAACACCTAGTGATGCTTTTTCGTCGAATGATTCACTTATGTAAAAAAGAAAAAAACAATATTGACAGTAAAATATGTTCATTTTTTAGATAAATTTGTACGTCTATCGGCCTACGGTTAAGTATGAATTCTACCTCCAATGCCAAATTCAATTCTTTGAATAACTCCGGTGCTGAAAAAAAAACACTCATTCAGCAGGGCTTCAATGGCATCGATTTGAGAGGTCTACAAAACTCCATGATTAACTGTTAAATCTTTATTTGAAAGTTTCATTCAAATAATAATTCCTAAAGATGCCTATTTTTCAACCGATTATTTTACATTCCACAGAGAGGTTTTGGCGTTGGAAGGATCACAAGGAGACTAGAACCAGGCAAAGCATTCAGAAGTATTGGCTGAATGACAGATCACTCTGTACATTGGTAAAGTTGAGTTCGCGTTGACACATACCAAATTACCCTCGAGAAGACTATGAGGAATAATTAATATTGTCGTTTCTAGCGTTACAACTCTATAAAAAAACAAACGTTGGATAAACTTAAGCATTTTTTATCTAAAAGGAGGCAAAATGACTACTTTAAATGATCATTAATTGCCTTATTAACTGTTCTGTGATTTTACATAATTGTTAAAATACACTAAAGTAGAGAGGATCGTAAACAACTATTGGGTGGGGGAGGCTTATAAGGCTATCAGAGTAATTAGATTCAATGACATTCTTCTATCCTGCTCAAAGCAAAGGTTTCCCAAGTCTCTCAACAATTGACACGTTGTAAACAATTGTCTGAGGGGTTCAACAGTCCTTCTGCAGAAGTAAATGCAATCTTGACTAAATTTGAATGTTCCAAACGAATGGGCGACTCAATTCCATTTAATACCTCTATTTCTTCCTCCTCTCTTATTAAACGCTAAATACACCTGTCAACATTTCTGATCCTAAAACTGGTGAAGGTGTTACTAAAAATGTTCACCAGTTCATTCGTGATCTTAAATGAGGTAAGTTCTTTGAATCCTGGCAACATAAAGCTAAACGTACGCCTAAGGTGAGTGGTCAGAAATGAGGTGGGAATAAAAGGTCGTTGTCTAGTCGTCAAATATGAATCCAAGGAATCGGATGAGCTCATTTACTCTGAAATTGTGCTAATTATGGAAAGAGATTTTAGCCAGGATTGTCCCCCTCCCCTTCAAAACCTATTTTAAATGCCTCACATACAATAAAACCATTAGGGGAAAAACTTGTCAAAGCTTGAGAAGGGGGCTTAAGACAGCGAACCACAAATGGGATTCGGCTTCGATGATTCAAACACTACTACCAGTCTCCCCTTCAAGTGGAGAGGGCACGATAGAAGTGATCTATCGTACGGCACTGAATAGAGCGTTAAACCACCACAGTCCTGTTGAAACCGCTATTGGGCAAAATAACAGACGATCTCAGATCACTTACTTCCAAAGGAATCAAACATCTTCCAACGCCAAGAAGACTCTTGGAACCCCACACACACACACACACCCCAGTTTTGTTTGCGGGGTTATGGGATAAATGGAACATGGATAATATCAGAGCCCAGCGAGATAGTGAGCTACATAAGAAAGATATCGAATGACAAATTTGGAGTAGTGAGCTAATATGCAATTAAAAAGTTATTGCAAGCAATTTAGAGAAGTAAGTAGTCTTGAAATTCACAAATTGGGAAAGTGGTTAATCGGCACCCTATTACCCCCCAAAATGGTGATGTTAGCGGAAGAGGAGACGCAATTGGAAAAAAGCGTAAATCTGAGGAATGAGTAAAGCGCAGAACAGATTTAAGGAGGCGGAGAAGCTGCCAGAGAAAAGAGCTGCCAAGAATAAAGGCAGGCTTCTTCACTAAAACCTCGCGTATAGGACTCAATGAAGGCTGAAATTTCAACTTTCGTAAAATACCTAAGACACAATATTTTATTACCAATTAAATAAATTGAAGGAAGGTGAAGAAAGAAATCAAACAAAGCAGCAAAAAAGTATCCACTGCTCCATGGCGAAGGCAGGGGAGAGGGGAAAAACCGATGGAGGAGTAGAGGTAGAGGTAGTGGGGGGGGGGGGTCAAGATTAAAGCACAATCTTGCACGTGCGGCCTGAAGGCAATTATTGGCCGGGTAATTAAACTAATTAATCGAAGTTAATTAATAAAATTAATCATTGCCTATGTGCGCTATCTAGCTAATAACTACCTCCTAATTGAAATAGAATCCTCCAAATCAAAGTGTGCGAGAGAGAGAGCATTTGTTTAATTGAGATGGCGTTATGGCCGCCAAATTTAATTAAATGAGGTGATAAGTGTGATTTACTGATTTTAATGAAAGACAGTAGATTGAAAGATAGCAGAGGCCAAACTTGCATGAAAATGGAAACATTAGGGAGAAAATTTTAGTTCGATGGGTGGTTCACATTCTGCCAAATGTTAAAAAATATCAATTAGGAAGAATAGGCTCCCAACCAAAATGAATGAAAAGGAACGAAAGCCCGGGGAAGACAAATAAAAATGAGACCAAGACACTCACATTAATGAATGTTGAAGAAACTGCGTTGAAAACGGCAAAGCAATCCAAAACCTCTCCCCAACGATTGTCCACGGCATAGACCGGACGATCGGCCAAACTGTGAAGACGTGTCCAGGCGACACGAGGTAGAGCTGAGGGAGTGGAGGAAGGGTTATTAAATGCCTCGGGATCAGAGAGACGATGACGTATCAACCAATGACGCAGTTGATGTTCTGGAGGAATTATGAAAGTACGCCCGGGCTCAATTGGCCGGCCATCGACACAGGAATACTAATCGATAAAAGAGGAATAATAGGAATTATCTAAGTGTATCCAATTAAAGTAGATTAAATTTACCCCGATACAAGATGATAGTAATTTAACATATCCACAAATATCAGTCAAGGTAAAAGGAAGGCTTATTACAACTCTTCCACGGTAGTACTAAAAGTGTACGAAATAGCAACAGAGGCAGGGTACTCCAATGACATGGTGAGAAGGCTGGGGGTTAGGATGATGCTCCCGTAGAGGCGCATGAAATGTGTGGCGAGCGAGTTTAGGGAATCGCTCTGGAGTGCACCGTCTAAGATACTAACGACAAGGTCGAGGGAGATTTGAAGTTTAGGAATCCCCTCCATCTGCGTCCCAGGACATTATGATGTTCACGAATATCATTTTCAGGGAAGGCTTTATGAAAAGTATTGCATTCGATCGCAATGTAAGCTTTGTAAGTGCATTGATTTGATGAAAGAATGCACTCTGACAATACCTCTTATAGGAAATTAGTACTATACTGGCCTCCTCTTTGAGCGGAATTAGTTTTTGTGGTCGGGCATGCACATAGCATATAACATTCGTATTTGTAACTTGAGGACATGGGAAAGTAAGAAATACAACCAAATGGATGAAGTAAATAGAGAAAAGGAAGGCAACTAACTAATATAACGTCTCTCACTTTACTTAGCACACGTCGTAACAGCTGAGTCGAAGCCTTAGAAAAGCGATGATGCTTCGTCTAATCTGGCCAAATCTCCATGAAGGAGATTATGATGAATTTCCCTTTTGAAACACGACGATTTGAGTATTACTTCTCTTTTCTGTGCCCTCAACTGCGTGCCTCGTTTGCCTACCTACGAAGTGATCTAGACCAGACGTACACTTGAAATAATAATTTTTGGGTCCTTTCCAAGTAGTTCCAACTAGGCCAACAAAAACCAATTTCCTTCTATATTTCATAATTTGATATAGCTTGAATATACTTTTTTCAAACCCAGCAAATTATGTAGCTGATATTACGCCACAGTTTTTAAAGAAAACACTTTTCTCTTAAGAAAATATAAAAATTAAGAGACTCACGTGTAACGAAGTCGGATGCATAGGAACTGACTCATTAATCCAATTCAAAGTTATAAGGGCCCCATTATTAGATGTCGGGGGGTGTTCTGAGCCGGGTAGCAAAGAGAGCAATGATTCAGGAAGTGGCTGAGTAGTTTCGATTCTGAGTTGCATTGAAGAGGCGCTGTTCATATGAACCAGAATGGCTTTGAATTGTTCCTTTGTCACGTTGGCGACAAACCCATCTTCCACAATCGAAAGACTTGAACGCCCACCATCGCAACACTGTAGGATTAAAAAGGATGCCCCAACAACCTGCAAAAATATTATACCTACTTAGAATATATCAGTAGCAAACATTCTATCCATTTTTCGCGTACTGAAGCATTTGAGTACCGACCACTAAACACTTATTGGGTATAGGCAGCCCTCCAAAATTAAGAAAAACAGCACATAATAAAGAAATACAAAAGTTTATGAGTAATTGAAAAAATCATTGACTTTGTACTTCTAGGATAAAAGTAATACATTTTCAGCTGACAGCTCCATAGGAAAGAAAATAGGCTGATTGCTACTAACAATTCCCTTAACACTCACCATTTAAGAAAGTAGACTTCACCTGGCACCAGAAAAATCAGATCTGAATCGAACAAACTTTATACATGATGTAAGGAGAAAAGTTGGACCTCTTCTATTGAAAATCAGTGCAATTTTTTCTAAAACTGCCTTTAAATCTAAAAGAACCATTTAGCCATATAGAAGAAAACAGCGATTCGATTGATCTCGACGATAGGTAGAGCCTGCACACTCGGCCTCTTTATGTATGGCGCACATGATTACTCATGCATATTTTCCCATTGGCGATCTATGATTGACTGCTCATTTTACAATCAATCAACTACTTACACACTTCAGCACTTAAGAACACATTTTATTTCGAAGTATTTTCTTAGTATTTTCTTTCCTGTCGGATAAGGCCTGTCTTCTGGAGAAGATTTACTCAAGACACTTTAGACATTTTTAGCCCCCATGATCAAATTCAATTACCTTTAAACAAACACTTCTGTTTCTATTGTTGGACCACAATTTCATTCCAGTGAAATTCGTGATTGCCAGAATTGCGAGTTAATAGAAACTCCTAAAAGAATCTACACTCCATTTTCCATCCATTTTTTTTCTAAAATCTACTAACCCATTCAAATGAAATTCACACAGTAGCTTGTTAGGTAAAAGCCCATAAAATTTTGATTAATTTATTACACTTTAAACAAGCTAACTTTGTCATTTTAGCAACACAACCGCGCATGCATGAAATGGAGGTGTGAAAGAGTTGTGCAATAAATGGAATACATGCATTTTAAGTGGCTAGATCTTTCTCATATATGCCACTCCCCCACCCCTCCCCCCTCGAGGGCGAAAAATTTATGATTTTATGCTCCAAGTAACGCCTAGACACCAAGCAATTAAGTATACAATATATATGCTCCAGCAAAGTCAAAAAACGTACAAATTACTAGTGGATTGGTAAGTGATAAGTTCACACTCACGACGATATCCAGTATGCATTCACTAATTTTGATGACCGTTTGTCATATACGTTCAATGTATCATTTGTTTAGTGGCCGAGATGAGACAACTCATAGCGAACGCCAATAATAATTAACAAAAAAAAACATGAAAGTGGTCAAAATGCCTCAATAGCATTTGTGTTATGAGAACTAGCTGATCATTGTGTGAATTTGATCGCTGAAAACAGGGGTGTGCGATAGACTTACCTCCACGTGGTGCACCCTGGGCAACGTATGCTCATGTGACATACCTCCACGTGGTGCACCCTGGGCAATGTATACTCATACCGCAAAAGGTAGTGGTGCACCTTGGGCAACGTATACTCATACGGCAAAAAACGGTGCACCCTGGGCAACGTATATCTCTATTAACTGGCAGTTGACTTCTCCCTATACCTACCTCCACGTGGTACACCCTGGGCAACGTATACTCATATACCACCACGGAGTGCACCCTGGGCAACGTATACTCATGCAATAGACTTACCTCTACGTGGTGTACCCTGGGCAACGTATACTCATACGTCCACGTGGTACACCCTGGGCAACGTATACTCATACGCCAAAAAGTCTATTGACTTCAAACTGCCCACGTGGTGCACCCTGGGCAACGTATACTCATACGGCAAACAAACGTGGTGCACCCTGGGCAACGTATACTCATTTGACATACCTCCACGTGGTGCACCCTGGGCAACGTATACTCATGTGACATACCTCCACGTGGTGCACCCTGGGCAATGTATACTCATACACCTCCACGTGGTGCACCCTGGGCAACGTATACTCCCGATAGACTTACCTCCAGGTGGTGCACCCTGGACAACGTATACTCAAACGGCACGTGGTGCACCCTGGGCAACGTATACTCATACGGCAAAAGTCTATTAACTGGCAGTTGACTTCTCGAATTCAAACTACTATGGCCCGACTATTTGTCATATTCGACCCCTTCACAGTACTCATCTTACTACTACGTGGTGCACCCTGGGCAACGTATCCACATATGGCAAAAGGGTCTATTAACCGGCATCTTCTGACTTCAAACTACCATTACCCCACTGTATGTCATAGTTCACCACGTCCGCAGTACTCACCTTATCTTGCCGTTTTCTCTATCTTTGTGCCTGTCTCTATTACATCTGTGAATAACTCTTCTGCTCCCGTCCCCTGGAATTTTTGTGACTTTAATGTCCCCCCCCCCTTCCCCCCGCCTCTGTGAAGCCCGAAGTCAACTAAAGGGCTAA